TTCTCCAAATTGGACACAAGGAAGATCTGGAAGTTCAGTTTCCTGCTTGCTTGGAAAGAAAAAGTTCAAAACAAAGGTCTTTGAGGTCGAAGACTGATAAAGTATCAGATGACATTTTTTCATTTCCCGAGGTCAGTGTGGGCTAAAGATATTAGACATCTACATTTTAAGCCAGGATCTGACCCCTTTATCTTTTCTGTGTTTCTTTTTCTAGGACACATCAATTGCAGATGGAACTCCAATCTCATGGCCTCTCTGGCTTAGGGCTGCTGCTCCCGGGAAAATATCTTTATATTTATCAGTATACTATGAGATGGGAGACATATCAAGTGTGATGACATATCGTATCTTACGTGTGCACTTCAATATAGAGGTTTGTTCCTACTGTTGCTAGAAATGTGTAGATTTGTTGTAATGTCTCCAGTTGAGGACAATATCATGAATCTGAGCAAGTGCTATTAGTTTTACAGTTACTTTATCCTCGAGCTGGTGTGTGTATTGATCAAAAGTGAGTGAGTTGCTTTTCCAAAAAAAAAAAGTCTCTTACAAGTACCTGCTATATTCACTTTATAGGTGCTACCATCTTTGGATGTGTCTTTCCAAATCAGCCCTTGTCCATCTAGACTGCAGGAGTTCCTTGTCCAAATGGATGTTGTCAATAGATCTAGCTCAAAAGGCTTTCAGGTTCACCAATTGTCATCTGTTGGGAATGAATGGGAGATATCATTGCTCGAACCAACTAAGGTCCTCCCTTCAGATTTTCTACTTGCTGGTCAAGCAATTTCATGGTTTCTCAAGCTCAAGGTTAGAAAATGGAGTGTTTACTTGTTCTGTTTACTAATTTGATGCAGTTCAACTTCAGCTTTTTAGATATATTCCCTCTCTGATATTACAATTTAAGGATATATTTTTTTTAAAATTAACCTATCAAATTGTTGCTTTGGTTTTATGTAATGGAATTCCTTTTTGAAATCAGAATTGTAGGTCGGTAACTGATCAAGATCGCCCTTCGGTGAAGGCAGATGTCAACTTGCTCTGCGGAAGTGAAATGGTTTTTGATCTATACAGCTCTCCCTTGTCTGAATTTCACCATTGCGAACGAGTACATCAGAGAATATCGGATCAGGTTCATTTATTACTCTGCTATATTTCTCATTATAATGTGATCAATACTGTTTATGAATGTGACTTATGAGGTTCTTGTGCTTGTAGTTATAGTTGAACTATAAACAATAGTGGGAATATCAATGTATAGTTGTAACGATAGATATTTTTGATTGCTCAGTGATTCAGAGCGGTTTCACGAAATAAATATACAGCATACCTAGTGTAATCTCATATGGTAGGTTTGGGAAGGGTAAAAGTGTAGGCAGACCTTACCCCTACCTCATGGAGGTAGAGAGGATTGTTACTGTCTCAAACAAAAATGTGTACAATCCCTTATGATGTACTGCTATACTCAGAAGTTTCTTTTTATTTGAATTGATCAGGAGCACGAGGACACGGTTGACTTTATATTGGTATCCAGATCACAGTGTGAGGAGAATGATCGCGCAAATATTTTCTCCCATCACATATGTCACTGCAGGCATGGATTCTGTCATGAGAATTTTTAACGTATGTATACATACAGGTGTTTCGCTTTTAATGTATACGATCTTGTTTGTTTCATTTTACAGTTTCAGAACGAGTAGTCCGATATGGTGGATAATAGATGGCCCCCGAACTGTAAAACATGATTTTAAGGAACCTTTCTATGCGATTACACTAAAGATGATAGTCCACAATTCCTCCGATGATGTTGTGTCCATTCGCTGTAACCCCTCTGATTCTGCAGTCAACATCAGCTCATCAGGAACTACATCTGCAGCTTCTGGAAACGAAGTAGGCTGGCACGATTTGTCTCTGTCAAACGACGTTAAAATCACACCTGATACCCCAGGAACTCGAGTAGTGAAGCCAATGTCGTCTGATACAGTTCCGTCTTTCATCTGGTCAGCTTCAAGTTCTACTCATTTTACACTCGATCCGTTATCTTCTAGGGAAACTCCTATGGAAATTTGTGTATTTTCACCTGGCACATTTGATCTATCAAACTACTCATTGCACTGGAGTCTCTCATCCCCGAGCGATCAACGCGTTGAATCGAGAGCTTCATCTGGAACATGTCAAGGCCATCCATTCTACATAACAGTGCTGCAACAAGATTGAGAACTTTTGAGAATTGGTAAGTCAACGTATTTTGTAATTTGTAAATTATGATGTTCTTGTATTTACATTTACATTTACATTTACACAGAAATAGAAACGTCATAATGGGGAAAAAATAAAACAATTTTGACTGGTTACAATAGGATATGAATTTAATTTGTTTCAATCCTTTTGGGACCAAATACAAGCTTGTAATCCATCCATTTTGTGGTTTAAGAACATGGAAAGGTAGACATTTTCGTTTCTCGATGATTCCGCACTTAAGTCGAGGGTCTTTCAGAAACAGCTATGCAGCTATGAGATATTTTGATAAGGTTTACCTACGCTTAATCCTCCTAAAACGTAGCTATGTTGTTGATGGTACTTTGTTTTTCTATTATTTGTTATCTTTTTTGTGATTAGAGAATTGAGCCTATGTTTTATTAATGCCTTCGGCGCGAAATAAGAAACGATTTGTATGATATAATATGTATAACTTTTGTATAGTATAGTGTAATTTGATAATATGTTTATATAAACTCGTTATTTCGAGTTTATACAAATGTATCTGTGAATTATACAAGGGAGCTTAACGGGGTAGCTATACAACAGACTATAGTTATGAAACATAATTAGATTTTATTATATTGCTATTTTCGAAAATTCCCCAATAATAATAATAATGAGAAATTAATGATTTAGTGATTTAAATATTTAATTAGTGGGCAAATTGGGATTAGGAGAAAAGTAATTAACTTTTAAGACGTGTTTTGGTCGGTCAACCACAAAATAATCATAGATTGGGGATGCAAAATTTGAATATATTAAGAAGCCAAATGGTTATAATATTCCTAACTATGATTTAGAATATGTTTTTTAAAAAAAAATATATAATTCCATTATCCTTATATTATAATAAATATAATAAGTTGTTAAAATCTACCAAATAAGTTGATAAGACATAATGATTCAAATGCAACATAAAATGGGATAAGAGAAATTGATTTTTCCCGTCTTGTGAATATGTCGAACTTATTAAATTTTAAATAATCTTAACGTCATAAAATGTAGTTCATCAATCATCGAAATATTCATATAAAATGGGATAAAGAGAAATTGATTTCACTGTCATCTCCCTCAATGTTGAGCTTATTTAAATTTTGAATAATCTTAAAGTCATAAGATACAGTTCATCAATCATCGAAATATTCATATAAAAATGTTGAGCTTATTTAAATTTTGAATAATCTTAAAGTCATAAGATACAGTTTATCAATCATCGAAATATTCATATAAAAATGTTGAGCTTATTTAAATTTTGAATAATCTTAAAGTCATAAGATATAGTTCATCAATCATCGAAATATTCGTATAAAAGACGGATAATCTGTCACTTCTACAACTAATCATTCGATTCTTTATTACACAACAAACACATAACACAAATGCTAGCCATAACTATTAACCACCTTTATCAGTTATGAATATATATTTACTAATAAATTTTTTAATTAAAAAGAAACTCGTTCAAATATTAAGAATTACTTCTTGTATGGATTTAAATTTAGTATTTTAATAATTAAATATATATTTTGATTTTACAAATAAATAAACAAGGGCATTAAGCACCTTATCATCTACAATTTTAGTTTTAAATTTTGAAAATATTGTCAAATAAATAAATTTACTCGTTTTCCATATTAAATATTAATAAATAGATTTTTATGGTCATAGCCATCTTTATTTTGTTCTAGAAAAACAACCCCCCCCCACCCCCACCCCCACCCCCACCCATTTTCTAGGAAATTTCTTACCTTAGTTTTATTTTCTTAATCCTTAAATTTTGGAGAAAAAAATAAAATAGTAGAAATATTTTAGTCAAACGCGTTTTCCTACTCGTTTAAACATTTCCTCAAATAATTAGAAAAATATCTCACTCAAATACTTTTTACTATTTTCTGTGTCAATTTATGTGATATTATTTCTTTTATTAATCAGTTTTAAAAATTGAAACATCTTTTTAACTTTTTGTTTATTTTCACACAAATATCATAGTACATCATAAATCAATTAACATATAAGATATTAAACTTCGTATTCAGTTACGTTATATCATATAAATTGAAAGAAAATAAAAAAAGGAGTATATTTTATATAACCCCCCACCCCCCTCCCTTTAGACCCACTCAATCTTAACCTTTTTTTTTTTTTGATATTTTTCCCACTTTCTTCCCTATTTCATCTTCACCACCTTTTCGTACACAATACCCCTTCTACATTTATATTGCACATAAATTTAAGAATTTTTTTTCTAAAAAAATATATGTATATATAGTACGTTTGATAGTTGATTTGAAGATGAGTTATACAGATATTAAATTTTACATAAATATTATCATGTTTGATAGCTGATTAAAAGGTAAGTAAATATAATATTAGAACTTGGTCTATAAAGAAACTTTTTATATATTAGTTTATTTAAAAATAGAAGATGAAATATTCTCTCTATATTTAATTACTATAATATATTTATTTTTCTATTTGATTCAAAAAAATATATATTATTTTTATATTCAAAAAAAGAACATTTGACTTTTCTTTAATTCCATATTTTGTGCTAAGTCTTGTTTATAGTAGTTGATCTAGACGACCAATTTGACTAGTCTTTATTTTTTCTTCTTTTTTTTTTCTAGTAGTCCTTCCCATTATATTCATTCATCCTACCATTTCCATTTTTCCTCAAACTTGCATCTTTCTTGTTGTTCATAGTTTTATCGAAATATCGAAATTTTCGTTAAAGAAAGAAGAAGATGAATGATCTTTTTTCAGGATCGTTCTCTCGTTATAGAGAGAACGATCATGATCAAGATTCTCATGGAATCGAAATGGGAGACACCGGTGGTGTCAACTTAGACAAGTTTTTCGAAGATGTAGAAGCTATTAAAGACGAGCTGAAAAACCTCGAAAAAATCTATGCTCAGCTTCAAAGCTCAAATGAAAAGAGTAAGACCCTTCACAACGCGAAAGCTGTGAAGGATCTTAGGTCTAAAATGGATGATGATGTTTCCTTGGCCTTGAAAAAGGCCAAGTTTATTAAAGTTCGTTTGGAAGCGTTGGATAGATCCAACGCTTCCAATAGGAGCCTCCCCGGGTGTGGCCCGGGGAGCTCCTCTGATAGGACGAGGACGTCTGTTGTTAATGGATTGAGGAAGAAACTTCAAGAATCTATGAATCAGTTTAATGAGCTGAGACAAAAGATGGCGTCGGAATATAGAGAAACTGTTCAAAGAAGGTATTATACTGTTACTGGAGAAAATCCTGATGAAGCAGTTCTTGATACACTCATATCTACAGGTAAATTTTTACTACCTTGTCTCGTTATGTATTCGAATTCACACGGAAAATTAGATAGTCTGAACCTCGAAAACTAAATTGAGGGAGTACAAATTTAAAGGGCACGATTGTGGTAGGGTGGTAAGTATTTCTCTATCTCGGACAAGATCGAGATTTAAGTTTTGATATATATACTTGATATTAGTTTTTATATGCACAGTCTAATTTTCCGACAAGATGATCCTCTATCGTATGTAGTTCGATCCTTAACCAGAGGTCTCGAGATCAAACCTAGGGGAATAGAGTCGTCTTTAGTATGGAGTAGTTTGCCTCTAAATGGGACTTTTTGATGTAAATTCGGATTAATCAAGCTCCAACACGAATGTGTGACATCGTATGTAGTTCTATCCTTAACTAGAGGTTTGAAATCAAACCTTGGGGAATAGAGTCGTCTTTAGTATGGAGTGGTTTACCTCTAAATGGGACTTTTTGATGTAAATTCGGATTAATCAAGCTCCAACACGAATATCTGACATCGTATGTAGTTCCATCCTTAACCAGAGGTTTTGAAATCAAACCTAGGGGAATAGAGTCGTCTTTAGTATGGAGTGATTTGCCTTAAATGGGACTTTTTCATGTAAATTTGGATTAATCAAGCTCCAAAACTAATATCTGAGTAAAACTCATCCAAATTTTCAAATGACATATCAAACAATACTTATTTCATGTATCGTAGACCGAATAGGTTACGAGTCATAACAGAACAAAGTACTTGTTTTTGTCTATCACAGGTCAAAGTGAGACATTCTTACAGAAGGCAATACAAGAACAAGGAAGAGGACAAGTGATGGACACAATAATGGAGATTCAAGAAAGGCATGAAGCTGTGAAGGAAATAGAGAGGAATTTGAAAGAACTTCATCAAGTTTTCTTGGACATGGCTGTTTTAGTGGAATCTCAAGGTGAACAACTTGATGATATTGAGAGCCAAGTGAATAGGGCTAATTCATTTGTTAGAGGGGGTGCTCAACAATTACAAGTAGCAAGAAAACACCAAAAGAATACAAGAAAATGGACTTGTTTTGCTATTATTCTTTTGCTTATCATCATCTTGATAGTGGTTCTTTCTATTCAGCCATGGAAGAAATGAGATATGGTCAAAGGTGTTTGGTTTAGTTGTTGATGGACCTCCCCCCCCTTTTTTTTTTTTTGAATATTCTATATTTTATAGTATACTATTCTATATTGTGTATTTTGGGATATTATTTTGATGTGGGGAGAAGTAAGTTGGATGGGGGTCCATGATGTTATTCTACATTGGATTATTATTATTTTTGTAATTATTGATGTATTTAGAATATATTCTTTTTGTGTTTGTGACAGTGATTTTTTTGGTTATTCTCATTTAACATTAAGTTGTTCTTTTTCTTGTTTATGTTGAGCTTTTTTTTTCTATATTGATGTTTCTTGATATTTTGGTATATTGGTCTAAAGTTTAGTTCTTTCTTGGCTTCTTCACTCCCATTGTTTCCATTTTCTATTTTCGAATGCTTTTACTTGATCCGGTGTTGATCGAAAACAACCTCTTCTCCCTCCCAAAGTAGGGGTTATGTTACTCGGACTCTTCAAAAATGTCAGGGTGCATGTCAGATTCTCCAATAGTATTCCGACAAGGTGTGACATCAAAAGTGAAGAGTCCGTGTAACTTAGGATAGGGGTAAGGTCTGTATACACACTAGCCTCCCAAGACCCCACTTTGTACGATTACACCGGATGTGTTAATAGGTTTAATGTTTAGTTCTCACAAATCAAACTTTTGACTATTTGTCTAAACTTTTGTTCTAGTAGTTCAAACTTCTGACCTCTACTTTGAAGTTTAGTTCTAATAGTTCATAACTTTTGACCACTAAGCTAAAGTTTAATTATATTAATTCAAACTTCACCAATAATCTGAAGTTAGAACTACTAAAATTTTAATTTAATGAGAAGATCAAGAAATAATATTTTATAAATACAAAATGAGCATATGATAAAGGGAGGAACAAGTAGTAGAATATATGAGCATTTTATAAAGAGTTATCTCTATTGATTCTAGTGATGAGTTATATTACAACCATAATATATGTTTACTATGCAGTTAAGATAATGTACAGGCAATGTAGTAGCACAGCTTACCTGTATCAAAGTTACATAAGCTGGAAAAAGAAGGTCTCCGCCGAATATAAAACTCTACATATCTCCAAATTGCCGATGCCACTATGAATCTCGATGATCTTATGAGCCGAAACTAGAGTATTACACTGTTCTCGGACTCACTTGTTTTGACTACTGGTGGAGAAGATACTGGATCTCTCTGCCCAGCTATATTTAGTCGTAATGGCCGTCCTTCAAGATCCTAATTGCATTTTACAAGAAACTGTGAGAAACAAGGAAGATGTCAAATTGTACTTGAGATACTTTATCATTACTTATCCTTACCACTTCATTCATGGTATCGAGTGCATTGTTCATTGCTTCAGCAGAAGAAAATGTAATGAAACCAAAACCTCGAGATCTTCCCGAGGCCCTGTCATAGATGACTTTTGCACTTAAGAATCCTGGCTGGTCAGCAAAAGCATCTTTCAGACCTTGAGACGTGAGGTTCCAGCTAAGATTCGCAACGTATAGTTTGTGAGGGCTGTCTACAAAACCTTGATAGGTGCTTCTTATCTTTGCACTCATTACTTGCCTTTCACCTCCTCTTGGAACCTCGGGGAAGTTTACCTTGACCGTACGACCTCCAACTTGCTGTCAAACATTATTAAGATGAGCAATGAATGGCCTTCGAGACCAAACTAAACGCTAATTGAGACAGAGGACGTCAGTCCAAGATAGGTAACTAAAATGAAATCTTAATAATATTCTTGTTTCTTATAAAGACAAGGACATCAGTTCAAGATAGGTAACTAACACCAAATCTGAATCATATTGTTAATGAATGACTATCAAGATTCAATTAGCGTTCGATATTTTGCATTTTCTCGTATTGCAGGTGAATTAAGTGTTTAATAAACTGATGCAACAAGCATACAAGAAAAGAGATCTTGCTAGTAAATGATAAGAGAACTGCTAAACTTACAGATCCATCAAACAACCGAACTGCCTCCTTTGCATCTTCAACACTTCCCATTGTAACAAATGCAAATCCACGACTTCTATCTGTAACTCTATCATAAACGATCTACGAAATTCATTGAAGAAAAACAACATGAGTCGTCCTGTATCTCATATTCCAAAAGAAAAAAATACAGGAATTCTAATCAAAAGTTGAACTTATGCACAAACATGCAAGCAACTTAGAAATCATGAGCCATTCAACTGCAGCTACACAAAATTAAATCAACCAACTTTAACCACAAAACAACAAATATGAGAAAAATATGTAACTATTAAGTTTGCGGGTACAACTATGTATCCCGTGACTCTGTCTTTAACTTGCTTCCATTGTTTGAGGGCTAATGCAGCCAGTGGCTGAGCCAGAATTTATGCAAGGGGATTAAAAAAAAACACCAAAAGATCACATGTCGGATTTGAACCTATTCCCCAAGGCAATTTGGACATCCTTTATGATTCCTAGAACCTTCCATTATGAAATGCACTCAACAACTTATACACACACAAAAAAAAACTCAGTCTTTGCACATTTGTGCAGTATAATTTTTCAATATAGGAATGTTGAGTTGCATAAATAGAATTAGTCCAAATTTTGTAATTGGACTTTTCTCCCATAACATGTTGATGCCTTCCTTTTTTTGATAAAGTAAGGTCGTATCATAAGATTTTGCTGCATAAAGATTCAAGAATTCGAAAGGGAAAAAGCAACAACAAGACATACCTAGTGTAATCCCACAAGTGTCCCAGATTCCGGGTAGAATGTATGCAAACCTTACTCCTAACTCCTGAGAGGTAAATTTTGTCCGAAAGACCCTTGGCTCGAGTCACACATATCAACAAAAACAAGAACATACTCGGTGTACTCCTACAAGTTGAGCCTAGGAAGTGTAGAATGTACGCAAACCTTACTCCTAACTCTTGAGAGATAAAAGTGTTGTCCGAAAGATACTTCGCTGGAGTAACACATATCAATAACAACAACAGACTACCCCTTGTAATCCCACAAGTAGCGTCTAGCAGTGTGTGCAAATCTTACCCCAACCTCATAGAGATAGAGAGCTTGTTTCCGATAGACCCTCAGCTTACATAAAACCCGCCAAACAATTTCAAATAAGGGGATACAGATGTGGAATCAATAACAACAAACTAATGCGATATGGAGAGTGTTATACAACAAACAACATATCAATGCATTTACAAAAACACAACCATTACATAACATTCGAAAAACCGACAGTAACAACAACAAAATAATGCGATAATGAAGCAAAGCAACAAAAAAACAGACCTCAACATTAGCAACTTTACCAGCTTCAGCAAAAATTTCAGACAATTGAGAAGGTGTCATTGAAAATGGCAAATTACCCACATACAATCTACCATCTTCAATCGATTTAGGCTCATCAACAACCCCATCTTCTTCTTTCTCCAAACTCTCACCTCCCTCATTCTCTTCATCTTCTTCAATTTCCTCTTCAGCTGACAATTCAGCTTCCTCATCTAATCCAACAACCCCAGCTCCATCAGACACAGCAGAAGTAGAAAAATGAGTTGAAATTCGACTGAAAGAAGCTAAAAGAGAAGAAATGGGGAAATGGGGTTTCGATTTTATGGGGTTTATGGAGTTATTAATCTTGAAATTGAAATGGGTATTGTTAATACTGGTAGAAATGTGCTCTACTACTGAGAATTTAGGCTTTTGAGTGAAGAAATGAAGTGATGAAGAAGAAGAAGAAGAAGAAGAAAAAACTGACATTTTTTCTTCCAATTTTTTTCTACCAATGAAGAAATTTCAGTGAGAGAAGATAAAAGATGAGGTTTTGATAAGACAGTTATGGGGTCCATCTCCGATTTCGATATCCATATTGGAGTCCGAGTCTCGACTAATCTCATGTCAGTAAGTTCATATGTTCGAACTTGAATGGACGAAAGAAATCATATTTATATCATAATAACTCTTATCGGTGACTAATATGGATTGTGGTGTATTACTGGTGGGAGTGTTTCGCCCTAAACCAAAAATTTTGAATTCGAGCTCTGGGTATGGAGAAATTCTTGAATCGGTGAACTGTATTCAATCATTTTTACTTGTTCATTTTGAATTCTACAGGTTAATTAACGTATAGAAGGTGTTGAAGGTAAAATACGAAAACATTAATTGTCTTTTCGTTGATACGTTGAAAGTGAATGAGAAAGTACTTAATGACGATCAAGTGATTAATGTAGAGCATGATAGACATTATTTGGTTTTATCGATTTGGTTGTAAACTATTCGATGCAAAATAAATGTTTACCCTAGGATGTTATATTGTATGATATACATTCCGATCCAAATCCGAATTCGTATCAGAAAGTGGGTGGGAGATGAAACAAAAAAAATAGTAATGTTTCTTTAAAATGCACAATGAGAAGGTATACCAGTCTGAAAACACACCAATTTGCACATTATTTGGATCAAGTTCAATCATACATCATTGTAGTTTTCACAAACCAACATCACAAAACAGTAATCCAAACACACTGCAACATCAGAGACCCCCGATCGACAGGGTCGTCATCGTCATCATCTCATCGAAAACAAGCTTATTTATCCAACAAAGTGCTGAAAATAAAGTAGCATTAAGGCTTTAGTGCCTCTTACCATCCACGTTGCTTGATAGCAATAGAACGATATAGGCACCGCGTTAATGCTAAGCCAAGGATGAACTGCCCATGATAGCCAAGGATGGTCCGGCAATTGCAGCAACCAAATGTGTATGCATTAGGTTGTAGCACGGATGAGGTGAGGCTCAACTCGTGACACCTGACCTCTTTCTCAAGCCAAGGCTATCATACTTTGAGGTTGCAACAGCTATCTGCTGTGCAAACCCACTTACCAGACACGAAAATACCGTGTCCAGTATTCATCATGTCCGGTATTGCCTGGACCGGAGGCCTCAGGTTTTGGAACAGAAAAGGATCAAGATTGTCACTAGAGTACATGTTAGCGACCCCTGATGAATCGAAGAACCTACTGCCAGATGTTTCTTTTGGTGAGCTCAAATTGCTGCTATCAGACTGCAGCACTTCAGAATTCTGGGATCCGGTGGGGTAAAAGTTTTGAACATCGCCTGTCTTGAACATATTGTTGGTTTTTCCAGCCTTCATAGTTCCATTCATATTCCTTGTGTTCAAGAAACGACCACCACAGCCCCTAGGTCGGCGCAAAGCATGGAGATGGCGAGAGAGGTGCAAGTACGGCTGCACGCATTAAGCAGCGGAAAACTCAGTAACAACAGAATGAACAAAGAACATGCTTTTGAAGAAAAGCATGATGATCAAATAAAATATCATGCTGATATGTAGATATCCACTGTACATGATCACAGAAATAGAACTTTACCTTGCGTGGTTTAAGAGCTTTTTTCTCCATTTCCTTAGCCCTGGTCTTTCGACGCCTTAGTATCCCATGATACTGCTTGGCATTTACGAATATCGGACCTTCATCAGAAGCCAAATTCAATGGTAGCATAATGCGGCCCTGCAAAAATTGTGAAGTGAATTTATATGAATATTAGAGCCTCGAAATCATTCAATTTGAAGATGTAGAGTATGGGAGAGTAAAGAATAGATTACACTACAAAATCCAATTATATTACCAAGTTTACATGATATGTGGCATTCTATCAGAAGACATGTGTTCCCTGTTACTGCATATATTCCAGTGTTCTGCATTAATCCGAAATATTTCCGGTACCACCTTTCATTTGTTATTCCATAGTTCAGCGATAATTAGAGGATCTAACACATAGTTCCGAAGTATTAGTAACATCCTTTTGGTTTAACAATTTGGGAACAAATTTTCTTAACAAATTCAATTCAATGGGCGATAAATGTGATTCCAATGATCTTTCTTAACATCATTCTTTTAATAGTTTTGACGCCAGTACTTCGTCAAACACTGTTCTACCCAGCTAAACTAGGTACCAAGCAGACTACTCTTTACTTCAATACGAAAGATAAGTTTGGTTTTTATCGTTATTCTAATGACTGAGAAATCCATCTGGGGCCAACCCTTAGGATCAAGGCAACTACAGCCTTTCAACCTCCGAAATTGGATAGAAAGCATCAGTTAAGTGCAGCTACTCCTTCCCTGTTTTCATCTATTTAGTTGCTTATAAAGAGATATACTCAACCAAAAAACTACTATGACAAAAGATTGGAGCCGTGTTTTCTCAAGGCTCTCAGGTTATATAATGTTCACAGAGGTGGCTTCTTCTAGACATGACACACGTAATAACATCTCTGCTTGTGAGGAAAAACTTATATATACCAATTATATTAGACGTTAAACTAGTTCCAGCAGTAAACAGCAGTGCACATCTTATAATGCCATCTGCGAACATCATAGATCAACCAGCAGCATTAATAATCGTACTATAGACCCTCAGTAAAGAGAGTAAGTACGAGACCAAAATCAACAGGCTTAAATAAAGGTTTCTTCGACTTCCTCTCGTTTTTTTCAACTAAAAAAATTCCAATCTTCTTTTAGATGAAGGAGAAAGAATGGTTTTTGGAAACTTTTCCAAATCCACCACATCAAAAATCCAACTCACCTCACATATTATGTGCTAAAACAAAATTTACGCAATATTATCAAGGATGGAAACATGACATAAGCTGTCATAAAGTTAATATTGGTTGTCATTGCGTGTTTGAAAAGATCTCGAAAAATATATAAAGCTAAAGTTTGTTACTTTAGTAAGTTATGCAACAAAACAGCAGATATGTCTACAGTAATGCTGTTACTTCGTTTTTCGGAATATGTAACTAATTCCAGAGAAAGCATAAATTACCAAACCCACATAACTCCGGTGATTGGAAAGTGATGCTATCAGAAAGAAGTAGTACCGAAAGTTGAGGAGCATAAGCCGAAAATAACCCAATGCATTGCTCTCCATAAGGATGTTTTGCATAAATCTGCACCATTTAAAATCACACCACATAAACATAACGAACAAGCACATATGTTGAGATTTATTACAAATGGAACTTTCGATTACCAGGGACTGACCAAAACCTAGCTCAAAGTGACCTCGATAGTCCATATTAGCTGCACGAACAGAGGAAGCAGCCTGAATGTTCGGAAGTTTTTGCCCATTTGCCGAAGATTTGCAATCACCTGAAGGAGTTAGAGGCATGATTATGCCACATTTTTGAAGAAACTTGTTGGAAGTTTGGAGCTATAGATTTGTCCAACTTCCAAACTAGATATTCTTTTTGGTCTTAGACTCATAAGCTAAGTTGCATAGACTCTTCACTTTCGATGTTGCACCCATGTCAAATTCTCCAAAAAGTACTCTACTTTTGGAGAAACCGACACGCACCAGCTGACATTTTTGAAGAGTCCAAGCAACATACCTTGTAAGTACTTTATAAGACTCCTAATAATTCTCTTTTTGAGGTGATCAAAAGAAATACATCAAATCTAGCTAGACTACAGAAAGAGTTTACTTAACCTACCAATGTTTTTTACTTAATGTTTATTTTCATAATATTTGGAAAAGCACTACCAGTTTCCGTTCTTTCTTGAGAAATCTGAATTCCATTGAATTCAGAGAAGCACCAATTATGGTTTTCATGCAATGCAGTTAAGATTTTTGTTACAAGAACTTCACCAACAACAAGTAAATTAAAAGAAGATTTTTTTTTCGATAACAATTCTGATCCAACATTGGTCCAAGAACTATGGTGTTTTTCATGAAAGGAGCAAGCATATTGGCACTAAATATCATTTATTAGACAAAGCATATTTAAGAAAGGATCAGATATCAAAACTTGAGAGGCCACCAAGCCATTGAAATTGATGATCTTAGAAATTACTAATGTCTTTTGGTGTGACTTATCAAGTTTAAGAGGGGCATTGAATTTGTAAACTATATTCATCCCAAATGCATATATTTTAAGGATAGTTACCAACATAGACCACCTCCCTGGCCTATCCCATCGAAAAGCAAGACAACACTCGACCACCTACTAACCTTCTACCCTTATCCGTGACGTCCCCATCCTCCTATCTAAGGCCATGTCCTATGAATTGCCAAAAGAATGAATAAGAAAGTACCAGAGGAAATAGTGAACTCTGTTGCATTCCCCTTAGGCTGCTGCTCCACAGATGCAGATTTCAATTGTCCAAAAGGCTCAGCATAAGCCACAGATTGAGACATAAAACCATTACTCCACCAAGGAGCAGAGCACAATGTTCCAACAGATTGATTCTGGACAACCCGTTCATTTCCTTTGGAAAATATAGTAGTATTCATGGTTATACAAGAGCAACTCACACCTTTTCTCTTGAAAATCTAAAGGAATTATGTTCCTGCAGCTCAATCAATTGAAGCAAACAATATTTCATAAGTTTCCATTGAAAACAATGCCTCAAGATTATAATATAAGAGAAGTTCTAAAACTTAATCCAAAATTTTCAAGAATCATATCCAGAAATAACAAAAAAAGAACTTTTAAAGCATAGCAATAATAAAATAAAAATATTTTCTTGATAACTATGATGTCCAGGCCAACTTGCGGACATCTCAACTTATTCCAATCGGATGTTCGTTGCCTCCCATCAAGCACAACTATTAGGTAGTAACAAAGGCTGAACTAGACTTTTGAGTTTATCGATTCTAGATTCTTGAAAAGAAAGTTAATAGTTTTTTGATAAACTATTTATACGATCCACCAAGGTTTGAACAGATAAAAGAAATCACCTAGCGTTTTTGCCTATGCTACAATTTGAACTTGAAATCTCATT